TTTTGAAGCACAAGCCTAGGGTTGAAAACAAACCCGTTGTTGTACTTTTAGGGTTATTTTGGTAATCTCTTCTTTTGAATCTCAAATTCCCATATTTGAAATACGTAATGATGATTATCTAGTTTATCTCAATTTTCATTTGATTTATCTAGAGCATTTTAAGAATGAAACACCATTTATTTGTTTAATTGGTGACTATTCTACTATCGATGGTTATTTATATAAAGGAAATTATGCATTCAGGCGTCTTATCAAGGAATTTTCTTATTGTGGAGTTATGTCCGAGTTATGTTCAGGACGTATTGCTAGACATTTTGAAAAGATGAAAACTATACATATCCTTGAACTTAGATTTTATTGGACTTTTTTGAAGCGAGATGTTGAAAGAGTTGTGACTTTAGTGCTTTGACGGTAGAAAAATCACAACCACAAACCAAGAAGCAGGAAGATATTATGCTTTATCCATTCCCTTTAGGCCTCGAGAAGGCCTTTCTATGGATTTTATTTTAGGCTTACCTAGGAATCCTCGAGATCACAATAGTATTTTTATTATGGTTGAGTGATTTTTTAAAATGATCCATTTCTTATGTTTTTCAAAATCCAATAACGCTTCATATGTAACAAGCTTTTTCTTTAAAGAGATCGTTATTCTCCATAAACTTGTTTTCACAATTGGTTCTAACAAAGTTGTCAAATTTGTATTTTATTTCTAGAAAACATTGCCAAAGTTGATGGGTACCACACTGGAATTTCTTTTGCGTTTCACTCCTAAATTGTTGGCCAGACTGAGGCAATCAATAGATTTTTAGGAAACCTCCTTAAAAGTTTGGTGGGTAGGAGTTTTTGCAATTGAGATCTTCACTTATCAACAGCTGAGCCACTAACAAAACTTTATTTGAAATAGTTTATAGTTATAACCTAAGAAACCAATTGATCTTGGTAATATTCCCAGGCATGCGTTTTCTGATTTTGCATTTATTTGCAAAATATTTTCAAAGCATAATATAAAGAATTAATTAGAAATTACAAATGGAAAATACGTTGAATTTAGAAATAAAGATAAAACTTTTAAAAAGTTCAATATTGAGGATTATGTGTTAATTCGAATCCGTCCGGAGTGGTATCCTTCCACATCATGTAGAAAGTTATAAGCTTGGGCATGTGATCCTTTTGAAATTATTAGGAAAATTGACACTGATTCATATGTTATTAATTTACCTAAATACATGTTTATTTGCTCAATTTTTAATGTGAAAGATCATATATAATATAAGGGAGTTAGCCAACCCCCAATTTTATATGATACTTCTTTTGTAGGTATACAAAATCATTCTTTGCCGAAGCTAAACCAACACTCATTTGTGGAGATGGACCACATCATAACATATGAGGAGGACCAACTTGGAGAACATAGGATTTTAGCATGGTGGAGAGACAAACTACCCACTAAGGACTTCTGGCTCATCAATTACGATTTGAAGAAGTTAGCACCATGTTTGATGACTGATTATTTGGACCTTAACTTTTTAGAGCTTTTTTTTTAAGGTACAGGGGAATTGGTGTAGCACTAGGAGCATCAAAAACACCAAATGATAGAAATGATCCAACTACTTGAGCTTAATTTAGAAAAAAATACAACTGAGTATAGTGGACTCATCACTAGGAGCAAATTGAAGACCATAAACTATAGAATTTTATTTATATTTTCTAATTAATTATGTGTGAAAATTTAATGTGGTATTGGAATTGTATGTAAGACTTAGTGTTTTTATTGTGGATTTCATGGTTAATTGGCTAGTAGAAGGCACTGGATTAAGTTAATTAAGTGCCTTATGTATGGAGTGAGTGGTTGGCCAAGCCAAGAAGCTAAGGAGTGTAGGGGCCGGCTAAGCATGGAAGGAGGGAGAAGTTGTGATGCTTACTAGTGTGTGCCATGCCCTTCCCTTTACTTCCTCTTTTTAAATTCAGATTTCTCGTGCAAATTGTATAAATACTTAATTGGCTGTGGAATGAAGAGATTGATTTGTTTTGTGACTAAATTTTGAAAAAAAATTGTTGGTGGGAGCTTGGTGGCCGGCCAAACTAGTGGGGTTGTGTGATCCTTCCTAAGACTATTACTAATGTGAGTAGCATGATTTATTTTTCTTTACTTTGTGTTTTGTCCTATTAGTCATTCCCCACTCTAGAAAATTATAATCCTAATTTTGCTAGTTTTCAAACCCATCATTTGAGAGCTTTTGTGGGAATTGGCCAAACTGGGTTAGAACTGACCTAGTTTTAGTTTGCCTTCAATTGGATGGCATAAACTCCTCTAAAAATTCTCAAAAACTCTAGATCTGTAGTAAACATCCTACAATTTAATATCTATACATTTATTTGGGGTTCTTATTCACTAAATTCCTAAATTCTAGGAGTTCTAAGTCACTTACAACCTTCTTCCAGAAAAGGGAAATCTCAGACTAGTTTGGGAAAAAATTCAGGGGAAATTAAAAAACCTCCACAAAAAATCATCAAATTCTCCATATTATAACTAGACATCTTAATCTTCAATTTGATTTTTATGTCGTCTCATTTGGACTTTTATAGAGGAAGTTTTAAAGGGTTAGAACCTCGTGCTCGAGATCCTTGCTAGTTGCTGAAATTGAGTTTGCTGACTACTAAATCCTTCCCAAACTTAATTCCACTCAAATTTAAACTTCATCAAACATAGCCTTTCCTAAATATCTTTGGTGTGCCCGCCATCCATGATGTAGAACGGAATTGATGGCAGCCACCCAAAGAAAGAAGTTATCCAAGGTTCCTGTTGTGGTTTGAGGGCTTGAGGAAGTAGACATCGGGTGGTGGCTCTTTGGGCGTCTGGATAACAACACATTTCGTTCTCGAACCTTTGGACAGCAAATAGAAAATCTGGGACAGCAATTTCAGAAAGTTCTGGATGGCAACGGTGGCTTCTGAGGACGTTGGACAGCAAGAGGGCGACTTTGACTTTGCAGGACAGCAGTCTCCTAGCGTTAGGAGGGCTGGAACAGCAAAGGTTCTGGTTGAAAAATTTCATGCCAGCAAGAACCTTGGCTGGAATTTTCTGGATAGCAAAATCTGGACTGGAACTTCATGGACAGCAGCAAAATTCTGGCAGCAAAATTCTGGCAGCAAACTTGGGGTGCAGGAAACACCAAACTGGGTGAAGAGTAGGAGGAATTGGGAGAAGATAATCCTAGCAAAGCTGCTGGGTAGGAGGCGGTCAGGTAGGGCTAGGATTTGGGATTATTTCCACTTGACGGGGCTGATTTTGTGGCCAAATTAATGAGGTTTGAATTATTTCCTAAGTGGAGATTTTGGGATTTAGGAAACAATTTCCTAATCCCACCCTAGAGGGGCCGACGACAATCAAGCATGGGGAGGATTGATGAGGTGGATTGATAGCTTCTTAATTTGGGTAGTGGGAATAGGAAAGGTTTTAATTAAATCCTTTTTGAATTTCAAATTCAAATTGAACTTAATTCAAGAACTTTCCTAATATAGGTTTCATTAAATTAGGAAAGAAATTTATAAATTCAAATTGCTTTGAAATTTGAAAATTAAATCTTCCCAATTTAAGAGTGGACACTTATGGAAAAGATTCAATGTGTGATTTGAATTTTGGAGGGAGAAGATAAGAGAGAGGAGGGCCGGCCATATGGGGAGTGGACATGGGTGTCTAGGTTCAATGTATGTGGGCCATATGCATTAATTTGGGATTGGAATTAAATCTAAATTTAATTTCAGATTTAATGTAGTTGGGAGGTTTTCATTCAAATTCAAATAGATTTGAATTTGAACATTAAGATAATTACCTAAAATATTAAAACTAATTTAGGAAAGACTTGATGGCAGGTGGAGATGGGAGGAAACCAAGTGGAGAGCCGGCGGCTTGTGGCTTGGTCGTAAGTGGTGGTGGAGCTAGGTCCGGTTTGGTGGAAGTAGGGAGAGAATGAAGATGACGACTAGGAACAACAAGAAGGAACAAAAGCAAAAGATAAAAGATAAAACCGCGAGCCTTGGACTCTTCCGAAGGCTGACGGGTGATACGTTGCCCTTCTCTAAGGGACTTCATGCCACGAGCCCGAACCCATCCTGCGGCTGGTGGAAACTCCACTTTCCTCCCATAGGAATCTCACCCAAGTTCTCTCCAAAGAACACAAGTGCAAACAAAATCACTTTTCTTAATAATTCATCATTGATCTCATACAAGAGCAAGAGCCTCTATATATAGGCCTTAAAAGAAAATTAAAAAACAACAATTGCCCCTTGGGCTTACATAAGACAAGACCCTTAAATAAGGGTAAAAACGAAAATTGCATAATTAAAAATAAACATTACAAATAAAATTTAAGATAACGTAGGACGATCACGGCCGTCCATCTTCAGCTCCTCGGATAGGCATGGACGGTTGGATGTCTGCATCAATCCACCAATTGAATCACGTCAGTGATCTAAAGCAGCAACACCATCTTGCTTTTCACAAATTTTTGTATTGAGGAGCTTTTCATAACCATATCTGCTAGAATGTGCCTGTGTTATAGCTGTAAGAAAGTTAGTCCGCTTTTTTCTGAAGGGGAAAAAATTTATAATACTTATGATATTTTTCAAAAATATTATTTTTCCTACAATAATTCTACATCTAATTTCTCAGAAAATTGTCATTGTTCAAAACAGATCCTAAGTAACAGCTGCTGCCAACAAAAAGCATTTATTTGCATGAAAAAATTGAACAAGTTTTTTTCCTGCCTTTACCAGAATTTGAGTTTTGAATTTAGATGAAAAAGTTGTTTTTAAGGAATAAATTATGTTTGAAAAAAAAAACTTTTTAAAAAGTTTTGACAGCAAAAGGAAAATCATTAGCCACCCCAAACGATATTACGTCAACCCTTTTTAGTGATTGAACTTGCTTATTTGGTATTTTAAGTATTGGGTCGTTTATAATGTGTACTATGATCGAGACATTGGTCGTTATTTCTCAGGTACTGGAGCCACATGCTAGACGTGTGGATGAAGGATTCAGTGAAGCACGAGTATTGGCTGAGATTTCCTTACTGCCAGATAAGATCCGCATATCATCTGGAAGACGGCCTGTTGCTATGGCAGCAGGCTATGTTGATCGAAGTTATAAAGATGGAGAAATAAGGAAGCAAGTTTTGGTTGTTGTTACATCTGGCTGGTCGGTTATGTGCTTTGATCACAACCTTAAAAAGCTTTGGGAAACTAATTTGCAGGTATATACCACACATTTTGATCAACTTTGAAGATCAAGGTACTATATAGTGCAAACAGGCTTATGTAGCTACCTTGCTTGCTTATTTGTCAGGAAGATTTTCCACATGGCGCTCACCATAGAGAGATAGCAATTACTATAAGTAATTTCACACTAAAGCATGGAGATGCAGGGCTAGTGATTGTTGGTGCGAGGATGGAAATGAAACATCATGTATGCTTTATTGTCTTTTATATTTGTGAACTTATCAAATGCTGTGATATTAAATATTTTTCCAGCTATTTTTGTTTGTCCGTTAAATGAACCTTTTATGTATTATCCTGTGTCTTTTCTTGATAAACTGATCAATGTCTGATTGATCCCCAATGCTACTTATTCTAGGTTCTTTAACTTGGTGTATGTGCATACGAGTATATGACTGCCATTGTTCCCATTGAGTTGTTTTGTTTATTTTGTGGTAATGTATTGCTTGTTTGTTTGATGCTACTTTCTTTCTAAAGTTCACACCACCCGTGGACATATGCATCTATCGGTAGATATATTTATTTATTTGCGTGGAATTGTATGTGGAATGCCTTTATATATTTATTCTTCCCCATTGTCAAGTAAATTCTTTTTATTTTCTTCCACTCTTGCCGCCTTGGATATGCCAGTTTGTTTAATCTTATTCCTATTCATCTTCTACGTAGACCATGGATTTCTTTGAACAGAGCTTGCTGTCTGATAAAATTGAGGAGCTGCACCAGAAAAATGCAAGCGAGAAAGAGGTCTGAATCTTGTATATATTTTTGCTTCTAATTGCTTCGAGTATATAGTTATTTGATCACTTTTTTATCACATGCTGTGTAATTAGCATGAATGATCCGACCTTTAAATAATAATTGATGAATTCCGTCAAAACTTAAGATTTTTTGTTAAGTAACATCTTTTTGCTTCTGATAGATAATTTTTTTATTATGAATATTAAGATTTTGTGATTTATATGTTTTTTTTTTAATTGATTTCTTATGGTTTAAGGGCAGATATTCTTGCAATCCAATAAATGTTTATGGTTTGGGGGAATGAATGTGCTTAAGTAATCAAGTTCTTTTTGTGACCTTATCTCGTTATACTAATTTAAAATTGTCCTTCACTTTGAATTCTTTTGTTATAATTTAATATTATTAGTCTTGGCAAAAGCTCTGCACAACTTACTGATCTTGATTGCTTAGAAGAATATTTATAATTCGCATTCACCTTGCAAGGATTGCAAAACATGTGCTTATAAGATCTAACTTTCCTCGTGGGTTATTATATGTTACGTTACTTCCTTTCAATGCTTTTATTAACTGTTGTCATACTTGTTGCATGTGAACATGCTCGTGATTGAATCATCAAAAGTAGTGCAAAAGAGAAATCTTTTTGTTCTTTTACAATGATTCTAAACTCAGTTTGAATTGTTCTTTACTCTTTCTTACCTCAAGTTAATAGTTATTTTTCTGGCTCTGTTTTTATACATAAAATTGAAAAAGGGGACTTGAACATACCATTTAATGCTATCTTATTTACTTTTTTAACACTCAAACTTCATATTTACTCACATAACATGCAATTCTTTAAATAACATAAACAATAATACCTTCGTCAGCCGCCTGTTAATTCCCCATGTCATGTGTAGGTCACGATTACCTCCTGCTTCGCATGCAGTCAATTTCATCAATACTCTTCCCCTACCAAGATCTTGTTGTGACTATCTCGTTTCTTCTTTAACATCGAGAATCCTTCACACATTGTTGGTTTCATCAATGCCCTTCCCCTTAACTAGATTCCATAGTGATTTCCTCACCTTTTCTTCACCATCAAGGGTTTTTAGATTTCGAATAGGGAAATGGAATGCAAGAAACAAGGCACGATTTTGAATAGGTGAATGGAATGCGAGAAACAAGTGGCAATTTTGAATAGGGGAACAAAATGCGAGAAACCGGCAATTGTGACAGAATTTAACATAGTGATAGTTTAATAAGTAAGAAGTTTTATGTGTTAAATATGTAAATAGAATATTTTTTAGTGTTGTTTATATAAACCCCCCTTCTAAAAATTCAAATAGAACAAGTTTTCAACCAGCCCATTTAGTTGTGTAATGGACTTGGAAATTATGACATAGGATAATTTTTGCTTTTTAACCATATATCCTAATACATGTTGCAAAAAGATTGTTTGTCTGAAGAGAAATTGAGATATCTTGGTTTTTTTGCTATGATTGTAATGGATGTACAATTAGGATTCTAAATACAACTAGTAATGCTTTGAAGGATTGCCACTCTTGTTATTGAATACACATGTAAGTCTGATTGAATGTCATTATCTATTCCTTCATCATTTGAAGAACTCTCTTCCATAAAGTTCTTCTTAAGGTATGCTTCATGAGAATTTGGCGAAAGATGGCCAAACTGATTGTGTGACACTCAAAAATCACAACTAGAGCATTATGTTGCCATCAAATTAAATGATGTTGATTATTTGATGGATCTCATGAGATCTACTCAATGCCTCATAGAAATGGAGGTGGCAAAATTAGAACAAATGCTGTAAGAGTAGAAACATAAGCTCGACAATTGGATACATCTTTTGGTTTGGAGGTTTGAGAGTGTTTTTATAGGCTGGTAATTCCCAAATATTAAAAATTAAAACTAATGTTCATGTAAGCAGGCTAATCAACATACATTTGGTTGAGGTTTTATAAGCATCTTCTTACGTCTTAAGATTCTCACAGGGAGTTTGTTGTATGTATTTTTTAAAAGCGCTCATGTGAAGAAGAACTAATAAGAAATTGACTTCATTTTATTCTCGATTTTTTAGCATTTATCATGGTTTTATATTTCCCATTTTACAAACATTTTATCTTAATATAAAAAATTGTGGCCTATGCGCATGCTCAATGAATTGTACAACAACAACAACAACATCAAGCCTTTGTCCCACTATGTGGGGTCGGCTACATGAATTCTTTTTCGCCATTGTGTCCGGTTAAAAGTCAAATTCTCATTTAAATCTAATAAAGAAAGATCATTTCTAATATTTTCTAACTAAATTTTTGTAGGTCTACCTCTACCTTTCTTAACATAAGTCAAATCTAATACCTCAACTTCCAAACCGGGTCATCGAAAGGTTTCTGTTTAATGTGACCAAACCATCTAAGGCGACTCTCTCTAATCTTGTCTTCCACTCGAGCTACTCCAACCTTTTCACGTATATGCTCATTTCGTATCCATCTCTAATGATCAAGCCACTCATCCACCTAAGCATCCTCATCTCTACCACACTTAACTTAGTATTACGCTTTTCTTTTAATGGCCAACATTCGGCACTATAAAGCATTGCAGGTCTCACCACCATCTCATAGAATTTTCCCTTAAGTTTGAGGGAAACTTTTCTATCGCACAATAAGCCCGATGCATTCCTCCACTTCAACCAACCAACTTGAATACTGCTGATAATATCCCCATCAATTTCACCATCACTCTGAACAATAGATTCAAGATATCTAAAACATGTACTCTTATTAATGACTTGATCACCCAAAGTCACAATCCCATCACTAGGTCTATTGCTATTAAAACTATACTCCATATATTCAATTTTAGATCTACTCAAGCGAAAATATTTAGACTCTAAAGTTGACCTCCATAATTCGAGTTTACCTTCAACTCCCTCTCTAATCTTATCAACAAGAATAATATCATCAGCAAAAAGTATACACCAAGGTACATCCTCTTGCAAATGTCTAGTGAGAATATCTATGATTAAAGCAAAAATATATGGACTTAAGGCTGATCTTTGATGTAATACAACCAAAATAGGAAAATACTTGGTCAAACCACCTTGTGTTTGAACACAAGTAATAGCTATTGCATACATATCTTTAATGATTTGAATATAAGCATTATTAACTCCTTTTCAAGACTCTCCATAGCACTTCTCTTAGAACTTTATCGTATGCTTTCTCTAAATCAATAAATATCATATATAGATCCTCATTCTCTCTATATTTCTCCATCAAACCTCTCAATAAATGTATGGCTTTCATAGTATACCTACCCGGCATGAATCCAAATTGATTTTGAGAAACATTAGTATCACGTCGCAACCTATGCTTCATAACTCGCTCCCATAGTTTTAAAGTATGATACATTAACTTAATTCCTCTATAATTCACACACTCCTGTGCATCACCTTTATTCTTAAAAATAGGAATTAACATACTCATTCTCCACTGATCTGACATCTTTTTAATCTTCAAAATAGTATTAAAAAGTTTAGTAAGCCAAGAAATTTCTTCATCTCCTAAGCATTTCCACATCTCTATTGGAATATCATCAGGTCCAACAGCTTTTCCACACTCCATTTTCTTTAAAGCCTCTCTAACTTCAGTTTTACTTATACGCCGATAAAAACAAAAATCTTTATTTTCATTTAGGGTGATAAAATAACTAAAGTCGATTGTATTTTCACATTCTTTATTAAAAAGTTTAGCAAAATACCTCATCCACCTTTGTTGAATATCATCTTCTAGGAAAAGTACTTTTTGATCTTCATCCTTGATACACTTCACTTGAACTAAATCCTTACTACTCCTATCTCTTTGTTTGGCTAACTTATGCATATATCTTTCTCCCTCCTTAGTATATAATCTATTATATAAATCATTAAAAGCTAAGCTCTTTGCATCGCAAATAGCTTTCTTAGATTCTTTACGAACCTCTTTATATCTTTTTCAATTATTAGAATTTTTACATCTAAACTAATTTTTATAACATATCTTCTTATTTTTTATCTTTTCTTGCACATTTGGATTTCACAACTAGCTATTTTTACTATTAGGAGTTTTTCCCTTCGAAATTTCGAGCACATCTTTTGTAATATTCTTAATATCACAAGTCATTTTTTTCCATATAATATTGACATCCTCATGCACAGACAAAATCTTAAGATTTAAAATTTTACTCTCAAAAATATTTTTATTAATATTCTTTAAATGCCCCCATCTAATACTAGAAAATCGTTTTACTATATTTTTTATTTTTTTAGCCCTTTATCTTATAGTCCAAAACTAATAATCGATGTTAGGTACATAAATTTTCACTCGAAATAACTTAACAATCTGTGCAATCTCAACGATCTAATTTTCTTATAAGAAAATAATCAATATGCATTCTACTATATCCATTTTTATAAGTGATAAGATGCTCATCTCTTTTATTAAATAAGGTATTAGCTATTAAGAAGTCATAAGTTAAAGAAAAATCTAATATAGTCTTACCACATTCATTTGTCATTCCAAATCCATGGCCATGGATGCTTTTAAAATCATCTACCTCTCTACCAACATGTCCATTTAACTATTCTTCAATAAAAACTCTTTCTTCAAGAGGTATATTTTGTATTAATTTTTCTAAGTTAGTCCAAAATTTTAATTTTGAATTCATATCCAAACCTACTTGAGGAGTATAAGCACTTATAATATTAACAATCTTAACATTAATAAAATTCTTTAAAGCTATAATTATATCTCCAATTTTATTAATTTTTATAACATTATCCTTCAAACTCTTATCTATAATCACACATACACCATTTCTAGTATGACTCTTACTCGAATATCATAGTTTATATCTTAAACTATTATTCTCCTTAGTTTTCTCTCCAACCCATTTAATTTCCTGAATGCACAGAATATTTATTTTCTTATGAATTATAATATCTATTAATTCCATTAATTTTCTTGTAAGGGAGTCTATTTTTCAAGTTTTTATCTTAATTTTAGTTTCATGAACTAGCTCCTTTGCCCATATCCGTCGTTGATGTGAGAACCCTTGCCTATTTAACACTGCACCCGGGTGCCGGTGCAGCAGCCCTAGCATTAACACAATTTTTTAAAGGATTCATGTCATGATTATTCGACAAGTCTTATGCTAGCTGTCGACTATCTAACGCAACCCTCCACTTTTCTCATCCAGGACTTGAGACATGGCAACGGTAGTGTTAAAAATTTGCATGCATGCTCAATGAATTTTAATAGAGCCAGAATATGCATGCATGGTATGGGCAAAATCTCTCTTTAAGGATTAAATTTGCCACATGCGACGCATTAATAGTGTTTCTGCAGGAATAAAATGGGCCATTTTGCAAAAACTCAAAGACTATGACTAATATAAAAAATCTATCCATTGGTAATCCTCAGGGATCCTAACACAATATCCATGGTGATATATATCTTTCAATGGGGCATTTGGCATAGGCAACGAAATGTACTATCTAGCATTTTGCCTGCTAAAAACATATTTTTAAAGTAGAAATCAATATAATCATTCTGTAGTAATCATAATATTGTGATGACTAATGAGACTAACCATTCTGCTAGCTTGCAACCCTCAAGATAGTCTCAAAAGTATGAGTTGTACTTATGTTGAATCCTTTTATAAAAAATCCATCACGTGTGACATAATTGGGTGGAAATTAGTTTTAGTTGTCTTTTATGTCTAAGATGAACATTATGACCTCCTAAATATTATTACTTTATAATTAAGATAGAAACCCTACTTTATCATTAATAGCTTTATTTTTAACACTCGAGTGATGCTTGAGAACAGGAATACCTTTTATAAATGCAACCCATTTAGCATGTTGATCATTCAATTTATTATGGAATTGATAATATAAGGCCTGGTGATGAAAGCATATAATATACTTCCTATGAAGCTGATAATGACACAAACAATAAAGTTCGTGTTTTGCAACATAAAATTTGTCATTAATGGAGTATTTGTGTCAGAACTATTCAACTTTTTACTAAAATGTGCAATATAATAATTTTCTTGGCTTATAACACTGCTAATACTTAGTTTTGAAGCATCACATGATAAATTAAAAACTTAAATCCTTTGCGGGATTAGGTAAGTCTAAATATTGTAGATTATCTCATTCTGAATGATAATGAGGTCAAATCCATCTGTACTGGTAGGAATTTAATTAAATGTATGTTTTCAAAATGTCGGTTAAAGGTGCAATGATGTTAGGAATGCCTTTCCAAAAATATATGTTTGTAATGCAGCTGCTTCATAAGAGCACAGGAACAATAAAATTTTTTTGGGACCAAACACAAAAAAAAAAAAAACATGAATTCTCTCTATTTACAAAATTGATGTAGAATGGAAGATAAATCATTTAATCTTGATTACGTTGCCATAATTGTACTGGATATAGGATAAATGGTGAGGAGGAAGTGATTTTTAGGTTAAGAATGGGAGAGAAAGGAGGACTATTGAGAGAGATGAGAGGGAATGGTTGAGAGAGAGGGACAGTTGAGAGAGACCAAAGGGAAAGGCCTATTGTGTGAGACAGGGAGAAAGAGAGTCAACTGTAGGTAGCATTATATAATCCACTTAACCTGTACTCATATAAATAAGTCACGAAGCTTGTTTTAAAGAAAGAAAAGTTCGTTGGGTTCAATTACACAAATCACACGACTAATAAGATTAATGCGGAAAACAATTTAAAGAATATAAAATAAATATTTCTTAAATGCAATAAATTAGTAAAGCAATAAATGCTCATCAATGATGCCATGATTGGACCGAATATATATATATATATATATATATATATATATATATATATAGGACAGAAAAAAATATATTGATAGAGAGAATGTTGACATGTCATCTTTTCTTCTTTCCTCTAAATTTATAGTAAGATTGTTTTTATATTTAAAGGTTTTATTTTATTATAACGATATGATTTGATTTTGTTCATGACAGTTTGCTTTTCTTACAGACCTCTGGAAACAATGCATCTGTAGATCTGCGCCATTTTGCCTTTTATGCATTTGCTGGTCGTTCAGGCTCAATACGCTGGACTAGGAAAAATGAAGTACTTATTTTCAGATATTTAATTATCTCAATTACTTTTGCTAGATTATTTATTGGCAGTATCATTAAAATTTTCCAAAAATTAAGTCATATTCTTACATCTTCTATCTTGGCTTGCAGAATGTCCAGGTGGAACCTTCTGATGCTTCACAGTTGATTCCCCAACATAACTATAAGCTTGATGCACACGCTTTGAATAGTCGTCATCCTGGAGAGGTATGGATTGCAAAATACTTGAGCCATTCCTCTTTGTTGCTACAATTAACAAATATGTGCTGTGATTTTTAGTGATAGAAGCTCGCTGAACCTGAATGAGTAAATTCATCAATTTCGATGCATGCTTCATTGCAACTGATATGCATCTTTATTCATTAATCCAAAACTCAAGTAATCAAAGGTTGGTTAAATGATCCAAGACTTATGGACATAATAGAGGTTGGGAGTTGTGTACAAGCTTGCAAATGATTCCCTCCCTTCTACTCCTTTGCTGGAATTCACCTTGAAACGGATGCATTTTGCATTCCAATTGATAAATTCACTGTTCTTGACATGTCAGACTTGAAACTTAAATTTTTTTGTTATTCATTACATCAAATGGTACTAGTTATAATTTAGATAGGGATTTCAAAATTGTAAGCTATTGTAAGAAAAGGAGAACTTATCTTTTTAAAATTCATAAATTGAAACAAGCTTTCTTTGATTTTGGGTAACTAACTCTTAATACAAAGACCAACCGGCTCAAAAGTTTAAAAAAATTTAGGTATGAATAAGAAAATAGGTAATTACTAATATTCAAATGAAATTCTAACCTTGCATGAGCTAACCTAAACTTGGTCCCGTATTTGGATCTAATCTTTTGACCCTAAAGGGATCAAGCTACCTTTTTTCAAGTTCGTCGTGCATTGGCCTACATGATTGATACTGGCCTATAGGTTTGGCTGAAGATCCTCCTAAATTAGGGCTCTCCCCTTTGGTGTCATTTGTTCCTATGAATAATAGTAAATTGAGGAAGTCTCTAGACTCCTTCCTTCAAATATCATTTTGGTTATCTTGAATGTTTCCTTATTTTCAGCTCGCATTGTGGTATTCGTTTTATTCACAATGTTGTCCTCCTACAATGAGCCTTCATGTCTAATCTTAAGATCTTCAATAGTGATCTTCATTTTCCTTAAATTTGTGTTCAACTCCTTTCCACTCCACTAGAAACCAACACTAAGAAGTGATGGATGAATTTTTTCACATATTGACGAGCACCCATGAAACTCAAATTTTGTAGGGCTTGGGATAATTTTAGATCTCCTCTATCTTGTTTAGATCTATTTGTAGCTCTAGCATATGTCTACAATGTGAAGTAGTGGTAGACGAATTAGAGGCCGTCAACCTTGCATTTCTTGAGATTAAGTAAAATTTTGGCTTCTTGCATAAACCTCATAGTTTGCTCAAGTGATGTAGATGCTCATCTCACCTGCTATAAACAAAATGTTAAATGTTATCTTGATAAACAATTATGAGTTTATCTAAAAAACGGTGCAGACCTCATTCACCAATCTCATGAAAGTTTTAGCGCATTTCGAAGTCCAATGGCATCACCTGCCATTTGTTCAATCTTGTGTCTCATTTTGAAGCCAGTCTGTAGGTATATTCTTCTTTGACTGGGATATGTTGATAATCAAACTTCAAATCTTGCTTGGAGAATTACTCGGTCAATTTTAGTTGATCTATCAACTCTTCTATATGTGATAGTTGACAGTAGTTCTAAATGTAGTCTTGCTCAGTGCTCTATAATCGACACACATTCACCATCCACCATTCTTATTTTGCACAAGTGCTGTTGGTGATTTGTCTGGCGAATTGTTGATTGCGATCGTTCTCTACTGTGCTTTGGTTTTCCATATCACATCCAAGCACCTTAGACCCTAGTGGAGAATGGAATCACATGAGTTGATTTGACAAAGGAGCCCCCTCGAGCAATGATAGTTCATGCTCCATAACTTTTTGGGTGGTAAATCTATCACTTATTGGAGAATGGTAGAAAACTCTTGTAAAAGTTGGTTTATTTGCTTGCCCTCGGAAGGATCAAGCACTGAAAGAAAACAGATCTTATTTGATTTTATTATCATCTGATGCTAGAGAAGCAATACAAAATCATGACTGGCACTATTCATCTTTCAGGCTTGATTGAGGGAGACCAACAACAACAACAACAACAACATCAAGCCTTTATCCCACTACGTGGGGTCGGCTACATGAATCCTTTTTCTCCATTGTGTCCTATTAAAAGCCGAATTCTTGTTTAAATCTAATAAAGAAAGGTCATTCCTAATATTTTCTAACCAAGTCTTTTTAGGTCTACCCCTACCTTTCTTAACACAAGATAAAATGGAATAGTTCTAGAAATAGTGTAACAGTCTTAATGGTATGAATCTCTTACTAACTGAAATAGTTGTCTACTGCTGTACTTGTCTTTCTGTTTGCTGATTTCTGCAGTTTCTGCCATCTTAGATGGCTTCCTATGAGCCATCAAAATGATGGTGTGGTTCATCTGTTGTATCCCAGCAATTTACACTTATTTTGAGTATGCCACGGTTGCTGCTTTGCCTTTCTTCCATCTTTTGGCCTCAATTCTGGCTTGAGCTGCCAACACTTGGCATTGGTATGTCCACAAGAGTTGGCAACGTGCATAAAAACAAAAAAAATCCTTTTTGCTGTTTTGCTGGCCTTAGTTGCCTTTTTCTCCATCTTTTACCTTGCATTTGCTCTTGTTCTTATGAGGTTATTCTTCTTGTTGCCAATCATTGGTTGATTTTTAGCTGCTATGGCCATCACCTTGACACCAGCTTCATCAATCAAGGCGATGAAGAATAACTTCAATTCTTGATAAAGGTTTTCATGCAACCTTAACGCTAAACTTCATTATGGTTGAGATTCCTTCAAAAATTTTGCCTAGAGAATTGGTCTGCTTGTAGGATTCGATAATGTTGTCTTATACGGACTGCCATAATTCTTGTTTTTGCCTTCGCCATTGTATCCGTTTCTCTCACTTGTGGCCAATAGTAGAGAGCTTCTTCAAAATGGCATTTAACTTCTCTGCCCTCTCTTTTCTTAGCTTCTTAAAAAATTTTGCCATTTGGATTGGTAGCACTTGTACCGTTAATGGCATGGGTAAGTGAAATACCACAACTCGTTATTGTTCCTCATTGCTATGAGGCCATTAACTATCAAAAGATACCTTCTAGGACCTGTAATCTGCATTCAAGCCTGCTAGTATCTGTTGTCTTTTTCAATATCTTGATAATTGATAAGTGAATAAGTGATATTGTCAATATTTGAACTTTGAAGTAGCTATTGCGGTGTTAATGTGATTTATTTTTTAAATAATATTATGATTTATTACGTCATCCGGTTCGACCGGTCGAACCGGTCGAACCGTGAACCTCTCCTTCCACCGGTTCGTTGTCCGGTCCGGTTCTGAAAACCTTGGAATTTAAAACCTTAAGTAATTGTAAAAATCAAGAAGAGAATTTTTTTTTACTTAGGGCCTATTTGGCATCGCTATTATTTTTATTTTGTTTTTGTTCTAACATTATATTAAGTTAATTGTTGTAGAAATGAGGATGCTCAGGTAGATGAGTGGCTTTACTCTTAGAGACATGATACGAAATCAACATATACATGAAAAGGTTGGAGTAGCTCCAGTGGAAAATAAGATTAGAGAGAGTTGCCTTAGATGGTTTGGTCACATAAAACGACCGCCTTTCGATAACCCGATTAGTAGATGTATTAGATTTGGCTTATGTTAAGAAAGATAGAGATAGACCTAAAAAGACTTATAGATAGAAAATGTTAGAAATGATCTTTCTTTATTAAATTTGAATGAGAATGACTTTTAACATGACACAATGGAGAAAAAAGATTAATGTAGCCGACCCCACGTAATGGGATAAAGGCTTGATGTTGTTGTTGTTGTATTAAATAAAAAAATATTTATTATTTTAAAAAGCAAAATAATAAAAAGCGAAATCACTTGATCTCCACTATATTTTTCTTGCTTCTCATCCATGCCTCTTTTGTTACTCATGCAAAAAATCTTCAACATATCGCTACATATTTGACTCACTATTGGTAAGCAATTGCTCTACATTAGCAACAAAATCTTCATCACAATCTTGTTTGTGGACATCATAACTTCCATTGAATGTTGATCTTGGAATCGATTAAAATTCTCCACAGTACTACCACTGTTGCCTACTTCCCTTTCCACCTTCATCGTTCTCTAAAGCACTGCCCTCAGAAACTCTTCTCCCGCGTTACAAATCTTTGATCTCCCCCTGAGATTCTTGGCAAAGCCTCTAGAAGCCTGGGAGCCTTCTCTGGCATGAATGCTGACGCCACAACCACCTCAACTATCAATTCCTTTGCCTCTGTTGATACAATCCTTTCCTTCACCATTTGTAGTTTGGCCCATCAAACTCTATAGATCGCTGTCGAGCACTAAATGACATGAGGGAGATTGACTGCTAAAAAGAAATTGGTTTGAAAAATATAGAAAATATAAAATTTGTTTTGAGTTTGGTAAGACAACTTATTTATTTTTAAAAAAATACTAATCAATATGTTTTATTCACTCATTTTCTCATTTAAAAAAAATGAAAAGAGATGTGAAACAGGGATTTAAAATTCAAAAACTAAAATCAACTTTCCTAAATTTTGGATAACAAATCCAAAATATAAGAAGATTTGACCAATTCAAAAGACCTAGGACCTTCAAATGGATAAGAAAAGAGAAATGAAGTAAAATTTATTGAAAATTCTAGCCTAATGGGAGCTGATGTAAACTTGGGCCGGCATCTAGACTCAACCTGTAGGCCCAAAAGGGACTGGCCTGGACTTTTCCTGGCCCAACTGCAGATTGAGCGGTCTGTGTGCTTGCTGCTGGCTTTTGGGCCAGCTGATGTTCCTTCGGGATCTTTCATACTTGTATTTCTAGTTTGCAAGCGTAAGGCATCAGCTTTAATATAGTATATTTACCGGAGTGTCATATTCCTATTGTATTGCCATTAGGTTCAGCTCAATTTGCATGATATTCATACAAATGAAATGTGAAGAAAACCACATTTTAAATTATAATGTTCTTGTTCTTAATTATGATCTAAAGCTTAAAATCTTTTTGATGCAATTTTGATACTGGAATAGATTCTACCTTTTGCCGGATGCTAGATGGAACAAGTTTTGAAGACAACTTTCTTGAATCCTACCAGGAAATAATTATTAGATCGGGCAACAGTTGGATTTGACATTATGTGACGCTATAAGTTCATATTGTTTTCTGATTGACTTCCTTATGTATTCTTGTGCTGATTCAGAGATGATTTCAATCAATTCATGTTTTGTGCCATCTTGAGGTTGATTTTTCTTGTTAAACTTTATCCCATTCTTGATTGTGATGAATTTTTCCTTAGAATTCTTTAGTCATTTATGTTAAATTTCAGTTTGAATGCAGAGAATTCAGGGAATCAATTCTTGGAGTAATGCCTCATCGTTGGGTATTTATTACTTTCTTCTGTATTAAATAAAAAATAAGCTTCGAATGATGTTAACTCATATCTAGATTACACTTTTATTAGGATAGAAGAGAAGATACTTCCTTGGAGCTTGCACATTTTAGAAAGCACAAAAGAAAACCACTGAAGAGAATGACGGGAAAATCCTCAACAAATCCTTTGCATCTACCTGTTGAAAACAATCCTCCTGGGAAGGATTCATCTAATAAAATAGCCAGGGCAATTGGGAAAGCTGCAAGTTATGCTGGCTCAGCAAAAAAAAATAAGGTGTGCTTATCATGGGATTCATGTTCGTACTGCATCTATTTTGTTTTCCTTGCATACATGAATCTTCTTCATATATGAGGTTGTAAACCTGGCATCACACATGAATGCATGCGTAATTTATTACCCTATTTGAATGGACAGATTTGTGTGTGAAGTTTTGAATACTGGTGCATTGATGAGATTTAACTATCCTTTTCGTATTTCTTAAGAAATACTATATGACGCCTAAGGGATGAATGACCCCTATTAGTTCTCTGATTCTATTACTAATTATAGTTTTGATTGCACGAACTGCTTGATGATGAATCCTTACTTTTTCATACAGCTGTTTTTCAAATCACCAATAAGTAGTAATAACTCTTTAATGCAGCCTTCTGATTTTCTATTGTATATTTATGAATGCAGAGGCATCTTTATATTCCTACCATAACAAATCATACTCAGCTTTGGTGGGTTCCTAATGTTGTTGTTGCACATCAGAAGGAAGGAATAGAGGCTGTTCACCTTGCATCTGGAAGAACAATTTGCAAGGTATAGAATTCTTTTGTTGAAATCATGCAGCTGATCTTTCATAGTTTGAATGACCATCATTCTATTGGTTTGGTATATGTGGTAAAGGTTTGACTATCGAAACATAGCCTTATGCCTGAAGTTTTAACATGCAGATGTCAGGGGGATTTAATTCTGTTGTGTACCTCTATGGACCATTGCTATGCCAATATACTAAAAATAAAATTAGAAACTAATTACAGGAGTGCTTGGTTATCCAATCAGTTTAGCTTCACTTCTGACGGATGCCAATCCATAACTTGCAATTCCATTACATGTCTTCGTTGTTTGTGATTAGTTAATTTATGTGAAGGCTTTTTTTAGCATTGGTGGTGATTGCTGCACATGCATTCACCTTTTCTCATTGACAATTTAGTACTCTTGTTTTCTAATATCTCTTTCTTTTGAATTTACCCATAATATATATATATTATAGATCAATGGATTAGGGGATTCATCCATAATCCCAGTAAAATGATATGCAAAACATTTGATCAAGAGCACCAATTGTTAAGCAAAGGCCACCCAACTATTCCATTAATTTATAATCAATGAAACTTGAGGGCAACTGTGCTCTGTCTGATCTTGTTTCTATCCAGTTCTAACGTTAGGTTGACATTTCATTTAAATTTATGATTCCACCCACAGCATGTTTAAGCGGACATTGCTAGATAGGCGAAATGATAGACCTTCAGGAAATGGTTGCCTAAGACTGCTGATCTGGTGCACACATCAGATAATGTCTGCATCCAAACTCAGCCTTGTCACTGGTGCAGGGTCATTTGCCTGGGTTGCCAGTTAAATTTAATCAAGTTTGGTTCTATAACCATGATATCTACCACTTGTTGTGAGGTCTTTTTGTAATTCAAAGTTCATACACCTGTTCAAAGATTATCCTATATGTTACAGCGATGCTTGTATATAGAAGCTTTATCATAAAAGACACGGACTAGTACTCTTAAAATGTTTATTTTCAGTCCATTCAAAATGTCTATTTTTATTTAAAAAGGATGACAGAGCGATAACTAAAAAAAATAGAAGAGAAGTTCACTGTATATGTACTATTGCAATCTTTGCATCAGCTATCAAGTGTTCTAAGGTTTATAGATGGATGAGCTATGGTTCTATTACCTTCTTATATTCATGGAATCATTCCCTTATATTTACCTATACATTAATAAGTTAAATAGTCATCTTATAATTTTCAAATAGATTGGCACATTTATATTTTATAGATAGATAATTTAGTATATTCTATTATTTTTTTGATCCACCTGATTTTGTTTTGGCATCGTCATTGGCCTTGCCACAACAATTAACGTTTGGCTTCATGAATCATTCTTATCTAGTGATCATTAAGTTTTGCAGTATGTGATATTAATTCAGGTCTATAAGTGTTTATCCACACACTGTCTTTTAGCTTGGTTATCTTTAGTCTACCAATTTTAGGGCTTTTATAGTAATTCCATTTGCTGGATTTATTTGTACATTTTTTTTTATTTACAAGATTTTGACCAAGAAATGGCCATATTGGAAGTCGTGATTTGTGCTCATGATTTATAGAAATGAAATCAGGAATGATAATTACGTGATTCCATTAGTCAGTAACACTAGAAAATTGCTTGAGATATAAGAAGAATATAAAAAATCATTTTGATGTACTTTTTGAAATTACAGGTGTTACATGCATCCCACCTGGTAAACTTAACTCAAGTCATGTATTTCACCAACCATAAATATTTAATATGCTATAAATATCATGAATAATCTATATGTAAATTCAAATCATTTATAAGATTGGATGCTATGATAGCTATAAATTTATTTCATGCAATTGAAGTCGTTTCTGGAGTAATTTTTTGTTCCTATGATGGATGATTAAATGATTGTAACAATGCATGAAATTGTGCATATCACTAGTTTTAATGGTGTTAATGATAATTGAAAAGCTTGATTAACATTTGAAGGTCATATTTATAAATTTAATTTGAATGAGAATAGACATTATCATTCTTGGAGGAGAAACAAATATCTTATATACAAGTTTATTTTTACACACTCACACTCGTCACTATTGTGGTAGAACTAGGATTCAAAGAGGGGTGGCAAACCAGGATTCACACATGCGCAACTTACTAACATAAGTAGACAAAAAAGATTAAATAAAAAATTCAAACAAGAATAACCTCCAACAACAACAACAACAACAACAACATCAAGCCTTTATCCCACTACGTGGGGTCGGCTACATGAATCCTTTTTCTCCATTGTGTCCTATTAAAAGTCAAATTCTCGTTTAAATCTAATAAAGAAAGGTCATTCCTAATATTTTCTAACCAAGTCTTTTTAGGTCTACCCCTACCTTTCTTAACATAAGTCAAATCTAATACCTCTACTCTCCTAACCGGGTCATCGCAAGGCCGCCGTTTTATGTGACCAAACCATTTAAGGCGACTTTCTCTAATCTTATCTTCTACTGGAGCTACTCCAACCTTTTCACGTATATGCTCATTTCGTATCCTATCTCTAAGGGTAAAGCCACTCATCCACCTAAGCATCCTCATCTCTGCCACACTTAACTTAGTATTATGCTTCTCTTTTAAAGGCCAACATTCAGCACCATAAAGCATTGCAGGCCTCACTACCATCTTAAAGAATAACCTCCAAAGTAAAAAAAAAATCTAACTATTATGGTTAGACATTAGAAATGTCAGTTAATTCTTCATTACATCAAAATTATCAATAATTGATTATACCTTAAAATTCATTGCAATATCCTTATCAATATATATTATCATTGAACTTGCAAGAAAATCATCTTTCATGTTATTTCACAATCTTTCCTTAGCAATCTTCATTGCTAAAAATGCATGTTTAGTTATTGCAAGAGAAACATGTATAGTAACCAACCAAATTAATCGATCAATAAGAGGATGATCAATTTTTTCATCTTTGCCAACATTTTATATAGATAAAAAATTATGGATAAGTTTTAAAAAAATTTAATTTTGATGAGTTTAAATTTCAAAATGCTCCAACTGTATTTTAAGAGTAGATTTTTTTAGTTACGCAAAATCTTAGGATAATTTTATCTGCAAGGTAACAAATATCATCAATTTTAAATGATTGGTATCCTTCTTATGGATCCAAGTTTGAATTTAAAACAAAAAACTCTACAATATCTTCATCAAACCTGTTATTCATCTCTTGCAATTTGTTTGTAAAGTGGTGATGACAATAACAACTTTATAATAATATTCCACTGTAATAGTGTTTTTTCTATGACAATAGCATTTTTGATCTATAGAGTGTCGAGTATTTATATTTGAAGTATGTAAATCTCATTTTTTACAAAATAACTTCATCATTTGGAGCAAAGAATCCCATCCTCTTTTTTTAAAATTTTAAAGAAGATATTTGATTTTTGATACCAAGTGCTTTGCATTTAGGATGTCTTATGACTTTCTTTGTAATGCTTAAGAGACACATCATCTGTAATTTCTAAGATATTTATGATAAGATGCAAAGTGAAAATAAAGTCAAACAAGATTAAATTATATCATAAAACTGCTACTTTATTTGACTTGATGATTTTCCTTAGTGTAATGCTTAATGATGCTTATTTGTAATTTATTTTCCTATATGCTCTATACATTTTGCATTGTCAAGTCTAGGGTGATAAAGTTTTTGAATATAATAAATAATATTAAGGGGTGTACTCCAAATTTGGTGGTTGGACGCAGCCCCTCCCCCCTCTCATCCTCTAAGTTCATCACTTCATGTCAAGGTGCTAGCAACTTTAGCCTTAATATTTTATGCCACCTCTCATATTATGCTTGTGTGTGGGCATTACACTTATGCGTCTGAGACTCTATTAGTCGTATTAATATGTTTGCCTATTTACAAGGCATAATCACCCCTAATTTTCAAAAGTCAACTTTGAGTTTTCAACCTCCACCAAACAAATTTTTTGCATATATGAATGCATAGAACATAAAATGTTAGCCTTCCGATGACCTGGCTAGAAAAGTAGATGTATTAGATTTGACCTATGTTAAGAAAGGTAGGGATAAATTTAAAAAGACTTAAATGAGAATTTGACTGTTAATTAGATAATGGAGAAAATTGATTCATGTAGTCGACCCAATGTAGTGAGGCAAAAGGTTTGATGTTGTTGAATGAATGCATAGAACACTAATATGATTAAATGCATTTCTCCATCATGATCATTAGCATTATCTAAATCCCAACATGGATGAGTGTAATCTCTATAACATGGATGCATAATATGTATCTAAACATATGGAAGTCATGCATGCTTATGCACACATAAAATTACTCTTATGTTTATATTACGGTTTTTTTGAGACCCATATAATTTTCATGCTTTCTAGGTATATCATAGCCATTATACATAGTTTTCTGATTGTTGTTTTATTATACTTGTAATGGAAATTTTATTTGCCTCTTTCGATTCCAGCTTCATCTTCCAGAAGGAGGCCTTCATGCTGATATTAATGGAGATGGAGTTTTGGACCATGTTCAGGTGCGAAAACAGTTTGAAAATCTGCTCCTCAACTCCACTTTCTAATGAGCGATTAAAAAAAAAAACACCTTTTAAGGAAAAGCTTTCATTGTTGGTTTCTAGATTGCAATCGTATGCATTTTCCAGTTGTGGAAAATCTAGATATGCATCTTAGTTTCTTACTTAAAGAAAAAAAAAATCTACTAGAAAATTGTTTTTATTCCAATAGAATGCTACTTGCAGTAAAAATTTCTTCTTTCTTTAACATATGTGAGCTGTCATAAATAACATAACTTAGGAGCTTCTCGAGTGAAAAGTGTAATTTTGTTGATGAATAAACAACTTCCAAGTCATTGCTGTTGAAAGCACTAAGCATGCTAAAGACGATATGATTGCCCGGCACCCCAATATCTAGCATCTAAGTAGGTGCTTGTCCGAGCAAAGTTAGGAGCTATGAAGTAAATTCTTATATCACTTATAAATATTGTTAGACATGATGAATATTGTTTGGGAGAATGAAGTGATTATCGTCACATTTAAGTAAAAAAAAAAACATTATATTTAAGTTAATGTGGAAATTTGTGAATATTAAGGTTCCATGTAAGTGCAAATTTGTTGGTAAATAATTTATCTTTAACAAATACGATGAACTACTTATATTTGTAGAATGTAAACCTAGGTATAATTTAATCTTTTTTTTATTTATTCCATATTCTTCATCATTCATGTTCTCTTTTCCATCATTGGATTTATAGCCCTCTATTTCTTCCTGGATTCCTCACTAATTATTTACATCCTCTTGATTTACTACTCTAGAGCTTAAAGCTACTTTACATACATTTGATATAGAATGTTTTCTAATATGCATTCTTGTTTCTCCGATTGTTTTGCATCACCTAATTTCAATTTATTATTATGAAAAATTAGCTTTTCTGCTATGAGAATTGCTAGTAATCATCTTTCCAATTGTGGCGAGGTGCTTGCCTCATTGTCTAGCACTTTAGTGTAGGATGATTGCATGCCATAGCGATAATGCTTGTCCAGGAGGTATGAGAGATGTTTTGGTCTTGCCTCACTTGGGGAGCCTAGGTGAGTGTTGATTCACCTTTAAGGACACTAAGCGTAGTAATTTGCCTCTATAAACTTGCCAACATAAGCACAAAATTTAAAATATGTGTCATGATAAATACAAATTATTCTTTTATTTATAAATAATATCAAATTTTGAAGTTTTATACAAAATTAATATTTTGGGTATCAAGTTGGAATTTGACTATGATTTTAATTCAAAATTCATTTCCTTGAAACTACTATAAATAAAAAAAAGCAAAAAATGAGCCGGTTCATGGGCATAGGCGTACATGTGGCCTTGAGAAATTTAGAAATCCAATCATCAGAAGGAATTTAGAGTGCCATGTTGTGGTGGAAAATTCAATCGACTGGTTGTAGAGCATAAACAATGAAGTTGAAAAGGAAACAAGAGGGAGAGAGAAAAAGGAAGTTTTTCTCCATGACTAATACGATCTTCCATTCTTCAGTGCATGGTTGATGACATTCAATATAATGTGATGCTTTCATGGACATGATTGTAGGTATCATTCTGAGGAGCATTCGCATGGAGAACTTATTGGTATTATTTAGTCTTATTTGATTATTGTATCTCTGGTGTGATTTTTTCTTTGTTTGAAAGATTTGAGAGAGTCATCTTAGATGGTTTGGTCGTATAAAATTGTGGTCTTTTGATGACCTGGTTAGGAAAGTAGATGTATTAGATGATTTGAGAGAGTCATCTTATTTGACTTGTGTTATGAAAGCTAGAGGTAGACTGAAAAAGATTTGATTAGAAAATATTAGAAATGACATTTCTTCATTAGATTTAAATGAGAATATAACTCTTAATAGTACACAATGGAGAAAAAGGATTCATGTGTCCGACCCCACATAGTGAGATAAAGGCATGATGTTGTTGTTGTTATTGTTGTTGAAAGATTTAGGGCTTCCTTTTTATGTTGAGATTGAAAGTAATTGGTTTTAGGGAAGATATGCATAAACCAGTTATTATTAGGGGCCTATCCATGAAGCTGGATTAGATATGTTAATGGTGACCTAATTATAGTTTTCAAAGTAGTTTAAATTGGGATTGTAATGTGCTCTTTCTTTATGCACTTGAAATTCTTGATATTTTGTGAAACTTTCTTTTACATAGGATAGTTAGCAGGTAAGACTGTTGGGCAACACTTGATCTTACTTTTAATGGGGCTTTTTGGATCATGCTAAAATTAATGGACCTATAAACGAACAAGTAATTTAAATTTAATTAATAAGTTTAAAGATTTATACCTAAAATGATGGTCAATCGGTCTCCATCACCACAAGTTCCTTGCATTTGAAGTTCTTGATTTCGAAACTGTGAAGTAGGAAGGGTGTTATGCTACATCAAGTCTATTGCGGACATCATAGATTTGTTATCTGGGCTTAGGGTTTCCACCAGAAGAGAGGTGGAAGATGATGTGAATCAATCTGGGATGATCCGGAGTTGTAGGAGGCATAAAATGTCATGGAATTTTGCATGGGCAGTGTCATGTCAGTGAAAATCTAAAGAAGATTTTGGAACCCTCTATAACCAAGAAGAAAGAGATTGCTTATCAATTTTATCTTCAAATGGAGTTATTGCATCCCCAAAGACTACATATTCCTGTTATAGTGCTAGTTTCATCTGCATCTGAAATTGGCTGGATGACTACAGATGAAGTTATATTAGACACTTTTTGGCCAACAAAAATATCAAATTCAATAGCTCGATCTTCCACCATTAAACAATTCCTGGCTAATAAATCAAGAACATCAATGAGTTGCTCCTGATATTATGGATGAGTACCATCATTAGTATTCTCTAAAGGAGAGTTCTTCCCACAGCAGAATTTTTGTTGGCCATCCATCACCTTCTATTTCATCAACATGACATCGCTACCACACATGAAAAGCTAAATAACTTTTAAGTTATATGAGAGTTTATGAAATCATGGTTTCCTTCTTTGCCTAATGCTTTACTTGGCACATATTTTTTCCTCTCTTGCTCCTGATTTCCCATTTTTCTCTCCTATAATTAGAAGTTTTTCACTCCTATTGAATATACACTTTTCTCTTCTATCAAAAATTGACAACCTTAATCCTAAAACTCTCCTTAACCCTTTTAGTATTTCTGGATTATCTCTCAATATTTGTCAAAATTGTTTGACTTTTTATTGTGTTCATGATGTGATTCACTGCAATATTTATGTTCATAATGTTGGCTGATTTGTTTACCATAAACTTGAGATTTCCTTACAATCTAACGAATTTGGTTTGCCGCCATCTTCTAAATCATCCCAAACCATAATCCTAAGAGCATTCTAACACCTATACCTAGTTCAGCTCCATCTCTCCATCATCAAAATAAAACACTTGCTCTAATTTTGCAACATCTCTACCATCATCAAATGAAGATCCTATGGATTGCTCACCTCCGCGTCCTTTTGATCAATTTGGGATCCCATCGCTACCATTTAATATCTTAAAGAATTATTACAATTTGCTCACTGCAATTTCCAGATTGCGTCAAACAAGTATATAATATTCATTACATATAAATGATCTTCAAGAAAGAAATTCTGTGATATATTGATTTAGTAGGAATCCCTCTTTTGTGGTCGGTTTTCAGGTTCTTTAGCAATGAATAACTGTTCCTTAATGGTTTCAATGTAGACCACAACCGTGCATATTGCTGCCTATTTATTTTGAAGATGTTTGATGTTAAGAACCCGATTTGTTTCTATTTATAGTTTGTGCATTGTTTGCATGATAAGTGTTTTCAATGCTCCAATCAAGTGGCTTGTGTGGTGATAAGTTCCCTGTACCTGTTAGTGGCTTCTAGCTAGTGAGATTTGTAAAAAACTGAAGAGGAAGAGGTGAAGGTGGATGGGAAAAACACGATCCGGTGCTTACAATGAGCAAGAACCTGAGTATGTGATGATGCTACAACCAACTATAGAAGGTTGGTTGATAAGTTTGGGAAGAACGCAATGGAGAAATTCCAAGGAGCACTCATTTTTTCAAGAACTAAGAGAATATTCAAAATTTAGCAACAAAAAATTGAATCCTTTTTCCTTTCACATGCCTTTAAATAGAGTTCTAATATATTACAAGATAAAATCACAAATACCTAAAATACCTATATAGTTTTTGTGTATGGCATGGTAAAAAAGATTCAAATACTATCAAATACCATAATTATTAAAGTGAAATAAAAAAAATTGAATATCAGTTCTAATAATTTCAATCCCCCTTTCTTCCATCAGAACTGTCCCCCACGGACGCCACAGTGGCCTCTTGCTAGGCATTTCAATCTCAAATAAAAAGAAAAGTAGTTAGTGAAAAATAATTATGTAAGGAAGACAACTTTATCATCGGATTTTCAAACTTTTGCCTTAAAAAGTTAGTTTTTAATGAACAATTTTGAAACTATGGCTGAGAAAGAAGCTTTTAAAAACAAAATGAGAATATCTTAAACTGCCCCCAAATAAAATCTAATTGTAGCTTGATATAAGTTTATTCACAATGCAATTGCAGTACAAAGATAATAAAATGGTATTCCTCTCAAAGTCTCATTTGATAAACCATTAGGTCAATAGCACTAGTATGAGGGGATAAAGAGATTTTGTCTAGAGCATATGGTTTGGGAAGTCCAAGCCTAGCCCGACGGAGGTTTATCTTTATATTTTGTAGAAACTTCAAGCTTGACAACTACTGTACTTGAAAGAACTGGAGTTTGCAGGAAAAAAATTTATTCCCTTGCAAGCTAATTTGAGCTGTTTGTTATTTTTATAGGTGGTGGGAGGAAATGGAGTTGAAAGAACTGTTGTGACTGGTTCCATGGAAGTGTTGAAGCCCTGCTGGGCTGTTGCTACTTCAGGTGTACCTGTTCGGGAGCAGCTTTTCAATGCTTCTATCTGCCACCATTCACACTTCAACCTATTCCAGCATGGAGATTTTGCTAGGAGTTTCGGCAGGACAGTCGATTCAGGTGCCGTGGAAGTCGCAACTCCATTACTGGTACGCAGAGACGATGGGCATAAGCATCGGAAAGGAAGTCATGGTGATATTGTCTTTTTGACAAGCCATGGAGAGGTTTGAGTCTTCCAATCTAGCTCACACTGCCATTCTCTCTCATGCATGAAGATGTTTTTCTCACAGGCTGTGCAACAATTTCTGTCTGTTTTCTCTTTTGCTGATTATGATTTAGACTTCGTTTGGACGGCTTTCTTACTTCTTCTAAAAGCAACTTTTTAGTACAAATAGTAAGAAAGTCGTCCTAAACGAAGCCTTACTCCACATTCATGGCATATTAATCCCTTCTGCTCTTCCGTTTTGTATAGGTTACTTCATACTCCCCCGGCGTGCACGGTGAAGGTGCCACTTGGAGATGGCAGCTCACAACTGGTGCAACATGGTCAAATCTTCCATCTCCATCCGGAATGGCGGAAGAAGCTAAGATTGTGCCTACCTTGAAAGCTTTTTCTTTGCGAGCACATGACAACAAAGAGGTGATAATCGCCGGCGGCGAACAAGAAGCTGTGGTGATCTCTCCTGGAGGCAGCTTTTTATCTTCAATTGAATTGCCTGGCTCTCCTACACATGCCTTGGTCCTGGATGATTTCTCTGGGGATAGTTTCACTGACATTATTCTTGTTACATCCAGTGGAGTCTATGGCTTTGTGCAGACCAGGCAACCTGGAGCTCTTTTCTTCAGCACTCTTGTTGGTTGCCTGATCATTATCATGGGAGTCATTTTTGTATCGCAGCAACTGAATTCAATGAGCAAAGGTAAACCAAGGGCTTCCAGTGAATACAGGTGAAATTCCTGGTAATTGGAAATCGCTAGAGTAAGGCTTTGTTTGGGACGGCTTTCTTACAGCTTCTTGAAGTAGCTTTTTAGTTCAAAATTTTTAATTTTTGAACTAAAAAGCTGCTTCAAGAAACAATAAGCCGTCCCAAATGAACCTAAAACACAATTCGATCATCTTGCTGCTTGAAGAGTTGCCTATGTGCACTGTAATTCTGCAATCTGCCAAAAATATACTTTTTTGTTGGTATGATTATGCTCCTGAGAGAGGCCATAGAATAGTTCAATGCAGTTCGGGGTGATAGAAAAGAATACAGGCTTATAAAATTCATTTTGATGGTGGTTTTATTGTTTTTATTTGTTTAGGTAAATCTCTCTTGCAGTGTGTAATGACATTGCGAAATAATTGCATTTCAAGATTTAGCAACTTTGTATGGAGTAGGTTTTCTTTTCACCAAAAAATTTTAGTTAAAAAAAAAAGATTTGATTTTGATATTGTATGCTAAGAATTTGTGTTGAATTAGTTTTGTACGTGATTTTAATTGATTTTATTTTTGTACATGATCTGCCTATTTATTTTAGTAAACTTGGTAGGTCTAAATATGAGTGTCTAGATCAATTTTGAGCCTTGGAATTCAAATATACCCCATTTAAAAAAGATTTGACATGTTCAAAGATATACAAAGATATGTACCTAAATAATGTGTGATGAATGTGATTAGCCTATACAAAGATATGTACCTAAATAAATAAATTATATTTTGGTTTAATGTTAGATTGAAAGTTTAATAGTTGTGAAATCAATTGAACTATAAAATGACACATAAAAAAGGAGGCGAAATGGTATTTTAATTTTTTTTTAATTTAAAAACAAATTCAGAATTTAATGTTAAAGTGAAATCACGTTTCAAGATGTCAACCTAAAGTAAATTCTAATTTGTGTATTTTTTATTTTCTAAAAAAAAAATATTTGTATCTTTTAATTTTTCTATTTATTTTTTATTTTTAAAACAAAGACTAAATTCAAAATAATTACAATGATGTTGTAGCACAATGTAATAATATTCAACACCCATACTTGAAGTAAATTAAATGTGTAAGAAGTAAATATGTAGAAAGTAAATGCGAAAAATAAAAGAAATTAAATCATATTTTTATAGTACTTCGATCAACTTGACTTACATCTATTTCCTGAAGTCCTCTTTGGGTATTGCATTAAAGAAAAATGATTATTCTTCAACTTTTACAACTAGGCGAATAAGCTCTTACAAAATCATTTTCACCTCTTGGTGCAACGGGATAGTTGAAAATCCTAGGGGTGTCAATTTCAAGTCATGGGTTAGGTAATGCCTAGAATTGACCAGGCATTATTTGGGTTAACTCAAACCTGACCCGTTTTTGCAAAAGGTTTGATTTTTCGGACCCGAACCTGACCCGCTTTGAGTTTGGGTCAACTCGACCTGACCTATGGACACGACAATGCCAGGTCGGCAACAACTGTGGGTCGCAACCAGTGGTAGTGGAAGCAGGCTAGCGACCGACGACAGGCATGTGGGTCAATGATCAGCGTGGCGGGCAGGTATGGGATGATACGTGGGACGTGATGCTGGCCTCGAGATGTGAGGCTTTGGGACACGAGCGGACAGTATAGGCAACTTCGGTCAGACGCGGCTAGTGCGAGCAAGTTTTGTTAGCGAGGGCAAGGAGGGCCATTTCGGGTCAATCTAAGGTTTTTGAGTCAACTCGAACCTGACCCAATTTTTAAAACAGGTCAAAAATCTTAACCCGAACCTGACCCGGTTATGCCTCAGGTCAACCCATACCCAAAATTTCCTGGTCAGGTTCGAGTCGGATTTTCGGGTCATGTTAAATATTGACACCCTTGAAAACCCTTTTACATTTTTGATAGGGCGGAGTGTCGAAATCCCTTTCACCTTTTTGTTGAGCGTGAGTGTCAAATCCCTTTTACCTCAGTGTAGTGAAGAAAATCCATTTAATCTCCTCAGAGCGGTGGAGTAACCCAAATCAATTTCTTCTTCTTAGTACGGCGGAGTAGCTGACGTTCTTTGGCTTCAAAGACTTCCTTCAAAAAGCTTCCCACATGACAAATAATGAAATATGGAGGAACTCGGGTTGAAGTTTGCTAGAGCAACCTTGCGATGAACTCCTCATACACTCTCTTGGCATACTCAAGATTATTTTTCCTCTCGCACAACCTCTCCCTTTCTCTCCTTTGCTCAAATCCCTCTCTTCAAGCTCTCTCAAGAAGAAACAACCTCTCAAGTACCACCAACAGATGACCCAATACAGCCAAAGACTTTTCAAAACAAATTAAATAGAGTTTAAATAGTGGGCTTCTAAAAATCCTAAAATTTTAATTTTGCCGACTCTATGTGTACAGTATCTTTGGAGTATCGTACAACACGATTAATTCATTAATGTCATAAATCACCCTCTTCGATTATAAATCCTACAGTACGATTAGCTTAAATTAAACATCAGATCATACAGGACAAACCAAGGTTTGTCCAAAGAGCATTCATATAAATTGTATTGTACGATACATAATCATCTACTATGATCTATAAGTAATTCATATTCAATTTGTTTCCTTAATTTCCTGACTTAAATTAGGCAAGATTATAAAATATTATATAGTACAAACAATTCAATTTTCAAAATATTCTATTTTAAGTTTGATTCGACTGTGGGGTTTTAGAAAATAAATATTCATCTAGTACGATTGATTGTTGTATAGTACGATTAGTTATAATTAAAATCCATTTTCTCATTTAAATTAATTTCAGTTTGAACTGATCATATTGAACGATCTGAATCGTAGTGTATGATTAATAGAAAAATTAAAATATTTATTTTTTTCCTCCCCTTGTGTCTGTGCGCGCATAGCTAACATACACCTTTTTATATGCATTAACTCAAGAAAAATGAAATTAAATACTCTTTCAACAAGTTTAACTTATACAATACTTTCTTGAGCTCAGATTTTATGATGATGCATTGGGTTTTTTGAACCTGAAATATTAGTGATGCACAAAGTAAAATATGTAGTATATAAAGTAAGGAAAAATAAATAATCATTCAATAATTGTTATAATTATCAAAATATAAGATCGAGCTCTTGGATTGAAATAAACTTCCCCTTTTTAATAATGTAAAATATTATGTGTTGAAATTATAAGTTAATTTTAATTTCTTACTAAGCTCTCCTCCTTACTAAGTGATTCCTTTAAAAATATGGAGAATTTTTTTTAAATATTTTTATTTTAAATTTATATTTTAATGAGTAAATAATATAAACTAAAAGCAAAATAAAAACAAAACAAGTACTGAAAAATAAGTAAGACAAATTACACTAATAAAAATAAATCAATACAACCAACAACTCTCTACTCCCCCTTTGACCTCACAAAAAGAAGAACTATAGACTAAATAATAATACAAAAAAAAAAAGATAAGATAAGCAATCTATAAAGCACAAACAATACATCACATCACATATTAATCATAGGAGGGACCTTTATAAGGTAGTAGTGGCAGTGACTAGTAGTAGTGATGAATGGAGACAAATTAATCACTAAACCATGCACGGTTGATGCATTTGCTCCCATCATTGAGTGGAATCTAACCATAAGAATCTGTTTACTCCTTAGTTTTCTAACATCATTGGCTAGATACGTCTCTTGTTCTTTCCTATAGCTCAGATTCAGAGGTATCTCAATGTCTTCAGCATATATCCTATTTCAAAAATCATATATCCATTTTCTCGAAAGTGACTCATGAAATATATTATAAATTTTTTTATATGTGATCTAGCAACAGTAATCTATAGGTAGATTCCAATAATCTCAAATGGTCCAACATACCATGGACTCAATTTTTCTTTATTGTCAAATCTGCTAATACCTTTCATCTGTCCTATATTTATATATATATAATCTTCTACAAAAAATTATACAACTTGATGTTTATCATTAAAATATTATCATTGCATATATTGTACAACTATCAATCTATCTTTGATCAAACAGATCTTTTTAATAGCATTATCAGCCAAGGCTGCCCCAATACGATGTCTCTCACCTACCTTTGTCTAAGATAAAGGGGTTATGTATTTTTTACCATATAAAGCCTCATATGGATATATATCACGTATATTTATGCAAAATTGTCTACAAAATTAGACTGTTAGATTAAAATGAAATGTGCTAATTTTGTCAGACGATCAACTACAACCCAAATAGTATCTTGTCATTGCCTCAACTTGGGAAAAACCTTAGTAAAATCTATGTAACTTCTTCCTATTTCCACTCTGAAATGGGTAATGGCTTCAAACGACCTCCTAATCGTTGATGTTATGCCTTTACTAACAGATAGGCATCACATTTAGATACAAAATTTGTCACATCCTCTTTAATTCACGTCACCAAAATATACCTTTCAGATCACTATATATATATATATATATATAACTTCTTTGGCAAATAGTGTAACATAAATAATGAGCCTCATGCAGAATATCTCGCCTTAGATATCTAAAACTAGGAACTCATAATTGATTCTTGCAAAAGATAATACTATAATCATATACAAAATTTAAAATTTTTACCATATTTAATCAGATTAACCAGCTTAGATATTCAGCATATGACTTCTGAGCTTTCTTAATCCTTTCTTATAAAGATAGCTAAATAAATATTTGAGCCAACATATCAGAATCCCAATCAGCCAAAAAAATCATCTCCAACTATAATATCTCTATATCTTGTATCAAATACTTATCAGAAGTGAGCTGAAGAAATAAAACTCCAAAAGATTTTCTACTCAAAGCATATGCTACTACTTTGGCATTACTTGATTGATACTGAATAGTCAAATCATAATATTTGATCAACTCAAGCCATCTCCTTTGCCTCAAATTTTGATCGTTTTGAGTGAATATATATTTTAGACTCTAATGATCAGTAAAAGTATCACACCTGACACCATACTAGTAATATCGCAAAATCTTCAAAATAAATATAACATCAGCTAACTTCAGATCATGTGTCGTATAGTTCCTTTTATGTGGCTTTAAATGCTTGAAAGCATAGGCTATCACTCTATTGTGCTGCATCAGAACACATACAAACCTCTCAGTGAAGCATTACTGAAAATCTGAAATCCTTTTGTACCAGATGGAAGCCAAAGATGGAGTAGAATTCAAACAATCATTCAATCTCTAAAAATTAGCATCACGCTTCGGTGTCTAGACAAAATCTATTGACTTTTAAGTCATTCTTGTCAAATATACAAAAATTTGAGAAAATCCCTTCAAAAACTTCCTATAATATCCAGCCATATCCAAGAAACTGCATACCTCAAATATGGTACTAGGTCTCGGCCACTTGGTAACTACTTGAATTTTTTAGGGGTCTATAGAAATACCATCATAACTCACCACATATAAAAGAAATACTCCTCAACCAAAACTCACATTTGAAAATTT